ACGGCATATCAAGGCATTGGGGAAAGGGTGCCTTAGGCATATATGGTGCCTTGGGCTCAAGTGAAGTGCTAGGGACTAAGGCATCCCTCCTAAGTGTTTCCCCCTCACCCTTGCTCTCATTGGATGTACCACCGTGGTCATCCTTCTTAGCTCTAGTTGTATTAGACGCAACTGACTGAGGCTCTAACTCCTTCCCACTTCTCAAAGTAATCACCGCTTGCACCTGCTCATGGTGCTTTCCATTCCCACCCGAACTCTCTGCCTCATATTGTCCCTTAGGGTTGGCCACAGTCTGACTTGGTAATTTTCCCTCCTCTCTCCGATTCATGTTGTTAGCCATTTGACCTAATTGGGTCTCTAGCTTGGCAATGGAGTGAGTATGGGAGTAAACTACTGGTGCTAACTCCTTAAGTTCTGAAAGAACTTCTAACACCTGAGTCTCAAAGGCCGAGTTGCCTTGAGGAACAGGCGGGGGTTGTGGTTGCCGGTACAATTGTGGGGGTCGATAAGGTTGTGGTGGTCGGTAGGATGATTGGTTGGCAAAATTATTAAAATTCTGCCTTGGTGGTGGCAGATTGTAAAAAGTGCCTTGTAAATGAGGTTTCCATGAAAACTTGGGATGATTTCTCCATCCGAGGTTATAGGTATTGGAATATGGGTCATTACCCGGGTTGAAGAATCCTTGAGCCGCATTCACATGCTCTTGGACTAACTCCGAAAATTGTGATGCCGAAGGGCACTCACTCAAGTCATGAACAGGGCTCGCACATATAGCACATGCCTCGTGAAATTGAGGCTAATCTTGCTGTGTAGGGGCATGTCCCGTAGCTAATAATTGGTCCATTTTGCAGGACAATGCCTTTACTTGTTGGGCTAACTTTAGGTTTTGCCCAACCTCATAAATGCCCCCTCTCTTCAAGGCTCCAACTACTGGTTGCCGGACTTGCCGGGCTGCGGAGGCATGGTGAAGGGAATTATCACTTAGGTTCTCAAACAATTGCCATGCCTCGGCATCATTTTTGGACATGAATGTCCCACTACAGGATGAACCCACCATTTAGCGGTGTGGCTCAGTTAAGCCATAATAAAATGTTTGAACAAGTTTTGGTGGTGGGGACATTGTTGGAGAAGGTCTCGAAGTCTTTCCCACGTCTAATGAAATTGCTCGCCATCAATTTGAGCAAAATTGGTGATGCCTCGCCTAAGTTGGTTGGTTTTACCTATGGGAAAATACTTCTCCAAGAACCGTTGCTGTAATTGGTCCCAAGTTGTGATTGAATTAGTAGGTAAGAAATTCAGCCAGTGTTTGGCTTTATCCTTTAATGAGAATGGAAACAATCGCAACATTAAAGCCTCATTTGTGAAATTCTAGATCCTCACTATCGAGCAAATTTCTAGAAATTCATTTAAATGTTTGTAAGGATCATCATAAGCTAGTCTATGGAATGATACGAGCATTTGTTTGGTGCTGGACTTAATCTCATAATGAGTAGCAGTGGTGTTGGGTAATTGGATGCATGATGGTGATGTATATGCAGTGGGTGTGAAATAATCCTTAAGGGTCCAGTTGGGCACATTTGGGACATTTGGATCTTCCATCTCTAATGGCTCAATGTATGAATATGAATATTCAAGCCTAGGAACACAAGCAGAGGCTCTAAGTCTCCTAAGAGTCCTTTCTAGTTGAAGGTCCAAACTCCACAATTCAGGGCGACAAGAACGGCGCCCGTGCATACACTACCCACACATACACAAAAAGTTCCAACTCTGTGCACTAAGTTACGAAAACAAAATAACAATGGGAGAAATACTCACAACGGTTTAACGAAAACGCTTTACTCGTCTTGCAGGTGCTTGACGTGTAGACGTTGTCTCCAACCTCTAAATGAGCTTTGTCTTTCTTTTAGCACTTTGGTGCTTTGGTTGTGAGTGTTTGCTTCTGTTTAAGCACTTTAGTGCTGCGGTTTTTTTTAAGCTCGGTTGCATTCCGCTTGCACTTCGGTGATAGTTTCCACTTTCAAACGCTCTGCACACTTAGCCACACGAAAGCATAAAATCCTAAACTAAAAATTAAAATAAGAATATAACTTTAAATTAATTAAATTCGCCAGAAGTCCCTGGCAACAGCGCCAAAATTTGATGGGTCGTTACACACACCAAAATTAAACACAAAACTACACCAAATTCTTTTAGAATAATGGCAAGTCCAGGTATCGATCTACAGGGACAATTGTGAAATTAAACTAATTTAATTGTTAAATTCCTAAATTAATTTTGATGAAAAGATTGATTGTTCATAACCTAATTTAATAACAAATAAATTAAACTAAGTAATTAAATTATCAATTATAAATAAAATTGGATTTACTGATTTGGGGAAAAACCTAGCGCGAAGAGTCCACCACTAGTTACGTAAATAGGGTTTCCAATTGAAATCAATTATGTTATGGTTCGAACGGGATAATGCTTTGCAACTACAAGTTCGCAGCATTTAACAAGAAATTATCACATTCAATGTACGAACACGAACCATCTCAAGTAGTACGAATCGTTCACTCTAAACTAGGGTGGTGACACGACTCGTCCCTCGTAGTATGGTCCGTCTCATACCTTGAATGTGAAAGAATAGAAAACTTTTGTATGGAAAACATTCAACAATCACAGAAAGCTGAATATTTGAAAAAATAATGGAAAATATATATATGAGATTTCTAAAACACCATACAAATGTTCAACCTTTACATAATTGAAAATCAAAAAGAAAAACCTAATTACGTGGCTAGGGTTTCATCAAAACCCAAGAAAAAGAAAACTAACCACTCATGGAGGAGTGGGAAGAGGAAGAAGATGATGAAGAAGACCCCATGGAAGTGTCCTTCAAGCTTTTTGGAGCAAATCCTCTCTTGAAACCCTAGCCTCTCTTTCCTTGTCAAAAATAATTTTCCAGAACCCTAATCCTGCCTTTTCTTTCCTATTTATACTTCTGCTGTCTTTCAAACAGGTTGAAAACATCAGGCACGTTTTCCCAGAAAAAAGTCAACGCACGTGCGGGAATCTATTTTTCCTTAAAATTCTGTCTTTTTGCCCATTTTTATGCTCCAACTATATACAACCTGATTGACATTAAACACACATAAAAGTATACAGTTTGACAAGCAAATAAAATTAAGAGATCCTAATTAATGACCTCAATGTTGTACAATTCGGCTTTAATCAGCATAGGGTGGCACAATGTGTAAAAACGGATTTCTTGGGTATAATCAGTGGAAATATGGAAGGTTTGGTATTGTTTCGTAGCTTAAACATGGCCCATTCGTTGGGACCTAGAACTACGCACAACACCACTTTCATCATCGAGTGTATTTGGCAAAGCGCTCGAGCCTTGCAGGCGGTCAAAAATAGGGTGTCTACACTTGCCGATTGGAGTGGAAGTAGTAGTGAGATTAGGGTTAGGATTAGACTTGAGAGGATAAAGATGGAGACAAAATTGAAATTTAATGTTAGGACAAAATTGTAATAAAAATAAATAAATAAAATGGGGTCCAAAGTAAGAATGTAGAGGCATTTAGAAGCTCTCTATTTTAATTATTAATATTTACAATGTTTATCATTCTTTTATAAATAACTTTTTTGAATAGCACTAATGGGCAATTTTTCCTATTTAAAATATAGATTGTCTCTTGTAATTTTAGAAATTGCAAATATTTGTTTGTCAAAAATTTCTATTCAACAAAATTAACAGAAAAAGTAAAATCGTTAACTATTATTGTATACAATAATAAAATTACACGAATTGTTAATTGAAATAGATTTATGACATCATTAAAAGCAGTTAACTGACTTGATGATTTATTAATAAAATGGATCATTTGTTGTGCAATTTGATACTTGAAAGCACAAGATGTATTTTCAAAACCACAAGGGACAATTTATATTTTAAACAAATTTCAAATAGTATATTTGTAATTTACCCTAGTTTTAAAATTTTTTAAAAAAAAAAGATGTCGCGTCTACGCAACAATTAATCACTATTTTTTTTCAAAATTATTTATTTAACTAAAAAAGGTTTAATTACAAATACACTACCTTATATTTGATGAAATATGATTTGTCTCTATAGTTTTAAAAATTACATTTCACCCCTTAAAATTTTTAATTTTATAACAAATTGTCTCTTTTATTAATAATTCATCAAGTCAATTAACAGTTTTTAATGATATCAGAAATTTATTTTAATTAATAATTTAACTAATTTTATTATTGGATAAGAGAGCAATTAGAAATTTTATTTTTTAAAAAATTTTGATAAGGAGATATTTATAATTTTTTAAATTAAAGAATGCAATCCGTTTGTTAAACAAATCTATATTTGTAATTTATCCATTAAAAAAAAATCAATATAAAAATAAAATTCTCAAACAAAGCCTTAATTGAAAATGATAATCCATCAAATCAATTAACAGTTTTTAATGATGTCAGAAATTTATTTTAATTAATAATTTAACTAATTTTATTATTCGATAAGAGAGCAATTAGAAATTTTATTTTTTAAAAAATTTTGAGAAGGGGATATTTATAATTTTTAAAATTAAAGAATGCAATCCGTTTGTTAAACAAATCTATATTTGTAATTTATCCATTAAAAAAAATCAATATAAAAATAAAATTCTCAAACAAGGCCTTAATTGAAAATGATTATAAATCTGTTGAAACTTGATTTAATAGGCAAAATATCATTTCAAAATTTAAATAATTTAAACCATATAGCTAAAGTTTACCCTTTTTTTTATTACTATTTTGAATTAATTACCCATTACAACCAATTTAATATGTGTTTTTAAAATTTTTGTTTGAGATATACTATATAAATATAAGTCTTTTTTTTAATCTTTTTTAAATTATACTACTTTTTTATTTTTTTACATATATTTTCATAAAAATTTTAACAAAAAAAAAAACACTTATTTAGATACTTGAAAAGAAGACGCCTTGCTGGGCGCAATCGAACCGCTTGTTGCGTCCTCTTTCCGCCGCTTTCGGTCATTTCTCTCTCGTTCACTGTTGGTTTCTTCTCTCCTACTAGCCTCTCTCTCTCTCTCTCTCTCTCTCTCTCTCTGTCTAGACCGTAATCTGTGAAAGCTTGCAATTGATTGAAGAGATTTGGGGGTAAAAATGGAGGGAGTACAGGACACGGCGACGATGAGTAGCTCAGCACCGAATGCAATCGCGAGTTCGCCACCGCCTTTTCTGAGCAAGACCTACGACATGGTGAACGATCCATCTACGGACTCGATCGTGTCGTGGAGTAACAATAACAACAGCTTCGTGGTCTGGAACGTCCCTGAGTTCGCTAGAGATCTCTTGCCTAAGTGTTTCAAGCACAACAACTTCTCTAGCTTCGTCAGACAGTTGAACACTTATGTGGGTTTCTCTCCCTTTCTTGAATTTCTAATAATTATTCTCTCATCTTATCTGGGTTTTCATTAATTTTATGATTCTTGATAGTCCAGTTAGGTTTTTATTGAATTTAAGTTTCATTGAAATATTGGGGGATTATTGCTTCGTGGGTCATATTCATGTCACTGACTCAGTGAAATTTGATGGAATTTTGTCTATGAATGTGAAAATTTGAATGAGTGGTTTGTACTTCTGGGTTTACCCTCTTAATTACTGTTCAATTATAAATAATTTTTAATAAAAATAAATAAAATTTATTATTGTAAATTGGGTTTTCTGGTAAAGGTGGCTTCCCAAAAGAAATTCTGACACTGAAAAATAAATGCTATTGTGGTACCAAAAAATTATGGAAACAATTTGTCAGTCTATCAAACAGTTGTGATGGTCTCAGAGCAACATTTTTAACCATTATGTCATGATCAAAATCACTTTAAATTATATTCCAATTATATATATATATATATATATATATAAAGAGGCAGTGCTTATCTAGATAATGGTTGGATATTCTGAATGACCTGTTGAGCCTATCTAAATAAAGAGGCAGAGGCAGTGCTTGCTGATCCAACTTTATTCTTTATTTTATTTGTCTGATTGTATCAAGGGTTTTGTCTTTGCTTACTGTTTGACCTTTGTACAAGCATCAGCAGTCAATTTAGTTTTATAAGGAGTCGTATGGACCTTATGCTATATAAACATGAACTAGTTATATGCTTCATTAACAAACCCAAATCCTTATAACTGTGCTAGAGAATTGTATAGTTTTCGTTTTGACTATTGCACAAACTATTTTTTTAATCTAATTTTTGTTTGCTATGTTTTTCTGTTTTAGTTGGCCTTCCGTGGTGTTGCTGTTGTGGATATGTGAACAGTTCAATCGCCAGTCTAACATAAATTTATCATATTACGCTTCATACCTTCTATCACAATGACTTTTTGTTTCAATCTACCTTTCCTTATGTTAATTGCATCGATCTGCATCTTTAGGCTGTTTTTGGTTCATGGATTTGGGAAGGGTTTGGAAAAGGGAAGGGAAAAGGTGTGTGAATTGTAGGTGAAATATAGTTATATTTCATTCATATTTTACATACCTTTTCTCTTTATCTTTCCAAATCCCTACCAAAATTCTTGAACCAAACACGGCGTTAAAATGTTTCATTAATCTTCGCTATGAATTTAATAATCCGAGATTCCGAGTTGCGTTCCCTGAATTACATCATACGTTTCAAAGATATAAAGAATTTCTACGATCTGCTTTTTACCTTATTAAAATTAGATAGTTGAGATTGGAGTTTCTTCTACCATTCTTTTCCTTTTTTCTGTACAGTTTTCTTTGTCATTTCATGTTGTGAATTGACCTTAATTTTGTTTTTTTTTGTTTTTATAGTTTTCTTATTTATTTGACCAAGCAGGGTTTCAGGAAGGTCGATCCAGATCACTGGGAGTTTGCCAATGAAGGGTTTCTTAGAGGCCAAAAGCACCTTTTGAAGATCATTAGCAGGAGAAAACCCACGAATGTACATAGCCATCAACAATCTCCTAAAGTCCAAGACAAACCAGTGGGTTCTTGTTTTGAGGTAGAAAAGTTTGGGCATGAGGAAGAGATTGAAAAACTTAAAAGGGATAAGAATGTCCTCGTGCAGGAGCTTGTCAGATTGAGGCAACAGCAACAAGCAACCGATCATCAGTTGCAAGCAGTTGGGCAACGCGTTCAGGTGATGGAGCAGCGGCAGCAGCATACGATGTCATTCCTTGCGAAGGCCATGCAGAGCCCTGGCTTCCTAGCCCAGTTAGTAGAACAGAAAAATGAAAGCAACAGGCGCATTTCTGGGGTTAACAAGAAAAGGAGACTTCCTAATCAAGAAGAAGAAAGTAATTCAGTCGGCAAGCATGACACTGCTTCACCCGATGGACAGATTGTTAAGTATCAACCATTAATGAATGAGGCAGCGAAAGCAATGCTGCGGCAAATCTCGAAAATGAATGCATCTCCTAGGTTAGAATCGACATTCAGTGGCCCCAGTGGCTTCTTGATTGATAACATACCATCTCCTCCCCAAGCATTGGATAGGGGTAACACCTCCAATCGGGTTTCAGGAGTGACCCTTTCAGAGGTACTACCGATTTCCTCTGAGTCGTATTTATCGACAGAGTTGGGAATGCCCGTCAGTTGTCCTTCACCTGCTGTTTCTGAGATCCAATCTTCTCCTTGTGTGACATCTGGCCCAGCTAAAGTAGCTCAGTTCCCTGAAATGATCATTAATACACAGGAAGATACAGTTCTGCCCAACTTCTCTCAAGTACAAGAAATCATGCCAGAAAGCACCGTTGAAGTCTCTGACTTGAATTCTGGGACTGGAAATACAGGTTTTATAGATTCGATGTCTGGATTCATTGATGGGTCAATGCCTGCTGTGACTGACGACTTTTCTTCTGATACCGATGTTGATATCATGCTGGATGATATTCCCAAGCTTCCAGGCATAAATGATGTTTTCTGGGAACAATTTCTCTCAGTAAGCCCACTTACCAGGGACACAGATGAGATTAATTCTAACACATTGGAATGCTGTATTGGCAAGGAACTGGATCGGCAAACAGGTTGGGACAGTGGATGGGACAAGACCCAACATATGATTCACCTTACTGAACAAATGGGACTTCTTGCAGCAGAGGCCAATAGGGGGTGATCTTGTCTTCCATATTGTATATCGTGTCTCGTGATCTGGAGGTAAGTTTTAGACCTGCTATTTACTACATTGACCATTTGAACTTAATGATCTCTTCAGCAGAAAAGGGAAAAAATAATACAATCCCACTTATAGAGAGAGAGAGAATCGCCAGTCATTTTCATCCCACTTCACTAACTCTGTGGCAATCAGCTGATAATTAGAGCATTACTTGCATCACTAATTTTCTTGCAGTCTGGCATCCCCAGCCAGCCCTAGTATTTTTCTTGTTTGGTTCCCCCTTTGAGTATTTACTGGTTTTGATATTGCTGAGATGATATTCTTCTGTTTTTGGCGGCTTTTGTCTTTAGTGGACTTTTTTCCAAACTTTTTGAATTTTGCTTTTAGTTTTCTGTTCTGTCTAGTCGAGTAAAACCTAAAAGGCTTCTTATTTTTGAAAATTTTTAAGAAAAAAGTTGGCTAAAGGCCAAAAAAAAAAAATCAACAAAAAAGCCCCACTAAAAAGCCCAATCTCAAACATCAGTCAGGTTTTGTTGTTTCATTTGCTGATTATTTCCTTAGTATTGGTATATTTGTTGCACTGAAATCCCGGAGTCTGAATTTTGTTTGCATGCTTCAATGTAGTATCATACAGAGGCTTTGAATATTGTTGAGTTTCCCACATCTTATGGTTTTTTTTTTTGGTACAGGTTGATCTTCTGCACTGCTGGGCAGACAAAGGCTTTTTGTTCAAAGACTGATGGGCAGTTGTGTTTGAAACTTCAAGAATTTTTTGACGTCCTTTTTTATCTGTATTTCATAGCCTTCCTTTGTTTGCATGCTTCAATGTAGTATCATACAGAGGCTTTGAATATTGTTGAGTTTCCCACATCTTATGGTTTTTTTTTTTGGTACAGGTTGATCTTCTGCACTGCTGGGCAGACAAAGGCTTTTTGTTCAAAGACTGATGAGCAGTTGTGTTTGAAACTTTAAGAATTTTTTGACGTCTTTGTTTATCTGTATTTCATAGCCTTCCTTATTTTAAATGCATGGTTTATAAGACCTTTTATGTTTAACGTTTATGATGCAATATAATCCTGTGAATGAGGTATAAATAAATACCCTCCTTGATACCAGTCTTTGTAGGATGAATTATTTAGGTCTGCGCCATAAGATTTATGGCAATGGAAAATTTTAATCGTTGTCATAACTGTTTGCTCATGGATTTATGGCTCCACATTATACCAGATCCTTCAGGCAGGGGATTCAAATTTAATGACTTCCACTGGAAGCATTCATGAGAATTTATCTAGGGGATGGATTGCCATAGATAATTTATACTCAGAGTGGGTTTTGGGTTGTGACACTCGTCTTGTCTTCTTTTTATTTATTTTTTATATTTTATTTTTTATTTTTAAGGTAAGATAGTAATGTGTTCTCTTATTCACATCGGTTAGCTTCTCGATCAGCAAGGCCGTGTATGTATTTGATGTTGGCAAATTTTGGTTTATAGGCTTATTTTGGACAATCTTTAAGTCCAAATTTAAGTGGGGTTTATACGTTTTTTGAAATGGGTCCAAGTAGTGACGCGTTCTTTGTCGTATGGTAAGTCACATGGTAAAGACAGATTGTCAAAACTATTTGAGTGAGTCAAAACTATTTGAGTGAATGAGAAGTTAATGTTTTCAGGTTTGTGAAATAGAAAGTTGAAGAGTCAAATGTGGGTTATTTGGTTTTGAGTGTCCCACATAAAAACTTTAAGAGAATTTATATGAGTATATAAGTTTTAGGTTGACATATTTGGGTTGGGTCCCAAGGGGCACCCTAAGTTTTGTAAGGAATGGAGTTATGGACAAAGTGGGGTTGACCTAAATCAACCACACGCGCCGTCGGGTCGGGGTTTAATTTTTTGAACAAAATTCATTTTGAATTTTTTCAAAGTTTTGAGGGAAAAATTTGAAATCCTAATGGATTTATTTAAACATTTGCGTCAAAATTTGAATTGGAATTTTATTTTCCAGAATCAGTGCCTCTCCAGTCATCTCTCTTCAAATTTCGATCACACTTGTTCAAAGGATTGTCTGCCCTTTCGAACAAACACATCTTGGCCTATAAATATAGGGTCCCTTTAGCAAATTCATTCATTTCAAATTTCCTTTCTGTTTTCCTTTTTTGTACTACATTGTTTTTCATTTAGTTCATGGAGTTTTCAGATAGTTGTAAAACTCAGGTTTGGTTCGCTAACAGATTGTTTGTAGTGCTATTACAATCTGTGGTTTTAATCATTATATCCTGGGAGATAAACGCCATTAATCTATAAACACTTGTACGGCGGTGAATCTGTCTTAAAGACAGAGTATTACACATTCGACTTGATCATCGTCTTACTAGTTTTATTTTCCAAAACACGAACTTTCTGTAAGTATTTTATTTGCTTTAGTTTTATTTTGTTTTTTACATAGAAGATTGTTCCAACAATCTTAAAATAGAGTCGAATTATTCTATTTATATAAAAATTTTCGTTTGTTTCCTTCCAAATTTTCTTCGTAGTTTGATTACAGAAATTATTATCTGTGTGAAGTTTGTCAGAATTTAATTTTGGATTTTTAAAAAATAATATTTTAGGTTTTTCATTAATTAAAATTCTGTTTTTCAGTATTCTAATTATTGAAGTTTATAAAAATAATATTATGTGTGGAGTTGATTTGATTAATAAAAGTTTATTTTCAAATTACTTTGAAATAAAAGTTACAACTTTTTTTCTTTTTTTTTTTACAAAATTATATTCTGTGCTTTTGGCTTAATTTTTTGTGTAGTATACAATTCTAATTATAATTTTATTTTATAATTTAGAATTCAATGGCTCCTAAAACTGCTCAAACTTTTGATCCGACCGGTGTTGTGACTGTTTTTATCCCTCCTACTGTGGTGTTGTCCCGATAAATCACGAGGAAAAGCCAAAAAAGTTCGTAGGAATTGATTTTAAAAGACTGCAACAGAAAATGCTGTTCTATCTTACAACATTGAATCTGACGCATTTCCTTCGTGAAGATGCTCCTATTTTGACAGAAGATGAAATCAATTGACAAGTACTTGTTGCGGTCGATGCTCGGAAGCATGTGGATTTCCTTTGTCGTAACTACATCTTGAATGGGCTTGATAATACATTGTATAACGTTTATAGCCCTAACAAGATGACAAAGGAATTATAGGAGTCATTAGAGAAAAAATACAAAACAGAATATGTTGGCTCGAAGAAATTCGTGGTGGGCTAATTTTTGGATTTTGTTATGGTTGATTCAAAGATTGTGATCAGCCAAGTTCAGGATCTCCAACTCATCCTACATGACATCCATGTAAAAGGCATGTCACTAAACGAGTCTTTCTAAGTTGCTATCCTAATTGAAAAATTACCACAATGATGTAATGAATTCAAGAACTATCTCAAGCACAAGCACAAAGAAATGATTTTGAAAGAATTAATTGTGCTACTGAGAATTTAGGAAGACAATCGGACTTCTGATAAGAGGGTTGGAAAGCATCCTATGGGGTCCAAAGCTAATATGGTAGAACATGTACCAAAAGCAAAGAAATGAAAATATACCGAAGAAAATTCCTCATAAGGCTCTTAGGGAGGGAAAATTAAGAAATTCAAGTTTAATTGCAAATGATATATCTCTGACAAAGAAGGATACCAAGCCAAAGATTGTCGTAGCAAGCGCAAAGGAAAAAGAAGCTCAAGTAAGAAACATGCTCAAGTCAATGTCACCGAAGTGGACTGAATCTCCAATGGTGTTGATGACATAAACCTTTCAGCTGTGGTGTCCGAAACCAACCTTGTTGGAAATCTCAAAGAATGGTTGGTGGATACTGGTGCTACTTGTTACATCTGTGCCGACAAAAAGATGTCCTCCTCCTATTCTGTGGTGGACAATAGAGAACAACTGTTCATGGGCAACTCCTCGAGGTTTAGAGTCGAAAGATAAGGAAACGTTATTCTGAAGATGACATCTAAAAAGGAACTCACTTTCAACAATGTGCTGTATATACCGAACATTCGCAAGAATCTTGTTTTCGGATCTTTGTTGAGCAAGAATGGGTTTAAGCTAATTTTTTAAAGTAACAAGTTTGTACTTACCAAAAATGAGATGTATGTAGGAAAAGGTTACATGAATGAAGGTGTAACACCCGCCTCCTTGATTACTTGTTAAAATAGAAGTCACTTTACCTATGTGTCTTTATGTGATTTATATGCTAATATGTATAAAAATTATATGCCATGAATTGTTTGATATATATGTAGAGTAATAGATATGATAGTATGTGAAAAGACCTGTTTGATTCGTTAAATTGGCAGGGTAAATTAAATGTTGGACTAGGTGGTTAAAGCCTAATTCACCTTAGCAAGATTAAGTTGGAGTGAAGCTAATTAGGCTATAATGAGGATTGACTCGATTAAGTGAATTGGATTGAATTTAGTTAAGCTTAAAATTTGATTAAAGAAAATTGGGACTAACTCATTAACTTATTAACTCAAGTCAACAAAGAGGAATAGTGGTTGTTGTAGAGGCAACTTGAGAGAGAGCCCTAGAAGTAGAAGAAAAAAAGAGGAAGAAGAGGAGTAAGAGAGCTCAAGCTAAATCTTCACCAATTCACCCATCTAAGATAAGAAACTTTCCTTTTAATTTCAAGAATTGAAGTTGTCTACCCATGGAATCCTAGAAATTAAGAGGAAATGAGAAGTTGGGTAGTGTAAAGTGATGATAGGAACCTAAGGTGAAGAAGTGAAAGGAGCAAGCTCTTGTCCTTGTAATACATGGCATTATTCATGCTTTCTCACTTGCATCTTGCTTGAATTTTGGGATTTGAAGAGAAAATTTCAAAGGTTTTAACTTTAACACTCAACCTTTGCATACAATGAGATTGTACACCTAAAGTTCATGATTTTATAGTCTTATTTAAGTATTGAGCCTTGCTTTATTGTTTGACATTGGAAGTATTCCATCCATAGGGTTTTTAAGTGTTTTTGAGCCTTCTTGTATGGAAAATGAGCTTGGGTTTGAAGAAGGGAAAAGCTTCATTTTCAGCAAAAAATTCGCATTGGTTTTTCACCCAGACCGCTCGAGCGGCCAGGGCCACTACACGAGCGGCCAACCTTGTTTTGGCCAAAATTGCATTCTGAAGTTCGCCCGCTCGTGCGGTGGCCTTCTCGTGCGGTGGCACTCGTGCGGCCAAGGCCACCGCACGAGCAGCCAACAAGGGCAACCTAGTTTGATTTTCCTTTTGTTTTCTCTACCTTCCAGGCCTCCAATGGCATGATTTTCAACTGTTTTCCATGAGCATATGCATTTTATGAACATAAGAGAAAATGCAAGAATGCATGAGATCGGATTAAATAATAATTAACGAACCAGTAACGGACAAGTTGGTGACACTGTAGATTGAACCATTGTGCTTTCATGTGTCTATGTAGGTTAAATGTCGCATCCTAGCCACGTGCCACACAGAACTAACTGTGCGTGACAATGTAGTAAAGCTATTTTTGAGTTATAATTCTTTCTGATTATTATTGTTCTTGTTAAAGCTTGTTCTACAATGATATGATTTATTGAATGAATGAGTCCACTCCATGCAATATGCTCACGTGGCCCATGCCCGAGAGTAACAACACTGCGGTTTTATTCATGTGGCGCTTACCCGGGGGTAATAATACCGTGGTTTATGTTCATGTGGCCTTTACCCGGGGTTCATAATACCGTGGTCTATGTTCACCTGGCCCTCGCCCGGGGGTAACAATACCGTAGCCTATACTTACGTGGCCGTTGCCTAAGGGTAATAATACCATGGCCAGATATGTATGAGATATTGAGTTATATGATTATGATTTGAAAGACTAACATACGTGCATGTAAATCCATATGATTGCTCTATTTCTAACCTCTTTACACATTGTTGTTCACTGGGCATTGGCTCACAGTTTATATTTGTCATGTAGGTGATCAAGCTCAAGAAAGGACTTGAGGGCGTCAACCTATCTTCTAGTTGTCAAGCCAACCCTTTCGGGTCTAACTCTACGGTTTTTTTTTGGGTGGTGATGTATTCACCCTTTTGTTAAGTGATCATGTGTCTCATATCA